CCTCTCTCTCTCTCACACACTCACTATCTCTTTCTTTCTAGAGAGAGAGGATGAGAGACTAATTGTGTTATCACTGTCGTCGTTATTGCTTTGTTCATATTTTACATCTAGCGTTTCCGGCCGGAATTCTGCAAACGCCATTCTTTGGAGGTGATCAACCAATGTAAGTGTTTGAAAACTGTGCGTATCTAACACTACTAATAATAATCTAAATTTCTATGCATATTTAGTTCATATTGTAAGAATCTGCAGTTGGAGACCGACGTGGTAAGATTGATCCACTACATCGTCGCATTATCTAAGATTTAAAATTCTCAATTATGTAGGTCTATGAACTTCGGAGGCATCGGTATGGTTATTGGACATGAGATAACCCATGGTTTTGATGACCAAGGTACTGTAAAAGTATTCACTCGCATAAATTCAGATTTGAATCATATAGGCCTATGATCAATTGTGAGGCTATAGTAAATATATATTTATAGCTATATGACGAAAATACCCTTTATTTTTGGGATGTATATATATATACACACACACATATATATATATTATATATTATATATATATATATATATATATATATATATATATATATATATAAACAGGGCGCCAGTATGACAAGGAAGGCAATATACAGCAGTGGTGGTCAAACGAGGACATCGTCAACTTCCAGGAGAAAGCGAAATGCATAATTGACCAGTACAGCGCCTATACGGTCGAAATCAACGGAAATTTGCACAACGTAAGGACACAGCTACGGTTGTACAATCCGATCAGGAGTGTCCTCATATAGATTATATATATATATTGTTGTTTTTTTATCTATTATGATTTTACTGATCCTATCGTATCGCATCGTATTGTATCTGTATAGTATACATCGTACGTATCGTTTTAGGGTTTAGCTATGGTGTGGGTAAACGACTACATTATATAGGAATAGGTCTACCCGTGTTACTCTTTGCTACACAATATGAATCTGTTGAGCAGGGAAGGGCTGCAATGGTAGAGTTAATATAGGAGGTAAACGTTGATACGTATGTTCGTACGGGATTTATAGATGAAGAGCGACAGAGCTCCTGAATGAAGTGAGATAGATAACTAATAGATGAATAATTAAAAGTCAATAATTATAGATTAATAGAGTTGTAGATGACTGGTGTGTTGTTTCTGCTCATTCTATAGCTAGATGGAAATAACACGCAGGGAGAAAACATTGCGGATAACGGCGGTATTAAGGAGGCGTTCAAGGTGAGTTGGCTGCTGTTGATGATGATGTTGATCTTGAAATAAAGACGGTGGAGACGGGGGCTCTCTCATTTGCGTCCTGATCCATACCTCGCTCGTAACAATTACCAGCAGAATATTTACGTTCTGTGATATTACATTCATCAGTATAACTCATTATGTGTAATTGATCAAATGCGAGAATATAATCGACATAATGATCCTATCAAGAATATGATCTTATCGGGAATATACTAATCAATGCCTAGTTGAGTAATTAATGAGCCGTATAAATATAATAAATAATAAAATAATATATAAATAAAATATAATAGTAATGGTTAGAAATTCCGTATCTATCACTGCAAACAATCGGTTCATGCACATTGGTTAACTAGTCGCACTTCGCTGAGCTGCGCAGCAAATATAATCGGCGCTGCCATATTTTTCAGGGATACAAGGCCTGGGAGGCTAAGTACGGCACGCCGCTGCCGCTGCCCGGGTTGGCGCACCTAACGCACGATCAGCTATTCTTTATCAACCAGGCTAACGTAAGTCAACGCGCATTTCACGCTCTGCTTAATGGAAATCCTAGAAGCAATGGCGATTACCGGCCTGTCTTTGGCTGAGCTCCGGATTAGTGTTTGTTAGTTTCTGTGTGTGAGTGTGTGTGTGTGTGTGTGTGTGTGTGTGTGTGTGTGTGTGTGTGTGTGTGTGTGTGTGTGTGTGTGTGTGTGTGTGTGTGTGTGTGTGTGTGTGTGTGTGTGTGTGTGTGTGTGTGTGTGTGTGTGTGTGTGTGTGTGTGTGTGTGTGTGTGTGTGTGTGTGTGTGTGTGTGTGTGTGTGTGTGTGTGTGTGTGTGTGTGTGTGTGTGTGTGTGTGTGCCCCTCTCATCCTTTCTGCCTCCTCTCACCCGCCCCGCTCTTTCGCACCTGACGTTGTAGCGGACGAGACCGTTCGGGAAGATGCGAAACTGGTTGTTCTTCGTCGTCAGCTCGTGGAAGTGTCCCGAATTCTCGTTCTCGATAAACACGTCAGGACGCCAGATGCGTGTGATGAAATGGAAGTCGGCTGCGATGTAGGAGCGGTTGTGCGGCAGCTGGTGGTCGTAATGCGCGTAGCTAAGCCTCTCGTCCTTCCACAGCTGAGACAGCAGTATGTGAACGGTGTACTCCTGTGGAATAGACCGCCGTCACAGTGATACGGCGTCGTCGAAGAGTAAACGACGCCAGATAGTAGTCTGTGTACACACACGAACGTCCCATGCAGCTAACAAAGTTATGTTCCTTGAATGTTATGGGAATGTTTCTTTTAGGTTAGCAGAACATTATTCAGTAACGTTCTAATAACGTGTTTTAGGAAAGTTTTCCTGACGTTCTGAGAACGTTTTTACCAACATTCACATAACATTGATTAACCTCCGAAAAGGACATATTAACTGCAGCAACACTACGTATGCGCTGCACACTTATCTTAATGTCTCGAGTACGGCAGTCACACCCACAACACACACACAGTATAAAGAGTATAACTAGCCCTATCCCTAACCTTAACACTATAACTATAACGCGACTCCAGTCGTATATATAGAGCCTAAACACAGATAAATTCATCTATGGTGTATAATATCTTTGGCTTTCAATAACAAACTGAACTGAACTGTTTCTGAACTGACAATCAATCCCAAACAACTAGTGTAGGCTAGCTATAATTAATTACTTAATTAATAATTAAATAATTAATTAATTAATTAGGCTGGAGATTAATTAATAGCTAGTGAACGACATTATTTTGTGGGAAAGCGATGCATGCGCAAATGGACTACCGTACCCGTAGCCTCGATACGGCTACCGTCCCCGTAGCCACTGCGAACAAAAATACATTTGATACCTGTGCTATAGTTTGCAACATCACAAAAACGGCAATTAGGAGTTTCGAACTCATCCGAGTACGGTT